TTAGCTGCTTGTGTATTGCATCTACCTCTGTGGTGCATTAGTTCTTTAGGAAAACCACTAGCTTGTAACAGCATCGGTATGTGTAAACATGTAAAAGATCTTTTTAGTCAGATTAACACCATTTTCAAAAACCAGAACACATAACTGAGATATTATTCTAATGTAGGGGTTATTAGGAGCGAACAATTCGTAAGCTTTAACTTACTTTTGGATTCTTCAATAAATTCTGTAAATATGGGAATATTTACTGATTTATTAATTAATTAAGATATTCTTAGATATACGGGGCACCATTCCCCTTTAACCGGGGAAAATTGAATCCAAAACTCTTATCAGTCTTTCTTGAAGTTCATAGAATCCTCGGAGCAGAGACTTCTCTTCGACACAACAAAGCTACTGGAGACGAAAATCTGAATTTTATAATGTTTAATTAACAATTTGTCAAATGAATAAACAGTGGCATAAATGAATAATAACCATGTGATATAATAAAAGGATGTATATTCAAAATAATGTTCAAGGTGTTTGTGTGGTGTGTGTGAGTGAGTGTGGGTCTTTGTTTCCCCAGAGTAGGTGGGGGGAGTGAGCTGTGAGTGTGTGTGGGGCTCTTCCCCTCCCCTCGCATTCAACAGGAGACCTGGATGTGTAAAGTTTTCTACTTTCCCGAACACTTAGTGGCTTAGAATCACAGTAAAACTTAACTCAAACACTTCAAAAGTTAACAAACAACAAAAGGTCACTTGTAAATTATTTAATCTAAAAGGAGTCGGCAGCCTGGCCAGAGCTGACGACTAAAGATATTAACGATGATCAATAAGCAGTTTATTCTTTCAAAATGACCCGGCGGACGTGTTTTGGGAGCAAAAGAGGAAAACACGAAGCTACTTTTTAAGCAATAGCGCGGTTTTATTGCTTATTCTGGACTATAGAGGAAACGGGAGGAGAAAAGGAGAGAGAAAAATGAGTTTTCTGATCACCAGAAGAGCGAGGCGTCCCTCGCTGTTTTGATTCGACGGTTCTCCGTGTTTCTCCGCAGTTTTCAGCGTCATCCGTCGGTTTGATGCTTTCTCCGTTGTTTGGCTCCACGAGTGTTTCTCCACGGGCTGGACACAGAGAGAACGAAGTTTCTTTTGGGCTGAGTTTGACAACTTACAGCGTCTCTGAGAGCTGGATGGAGCTCCGCTCGTTCCCAGTCAGGTCCCGATGGGAGTTGGAGTGGTTTCCAGCGGTTGCGTGGCTCAACTTGGGCACTTAGAGCTTCCGCGTGCTCAAGTTATCGGAGCGTTCGACAAGCGTGTCCTTACCGCCAGGTATCCTGGGCAAAAGAACGAGGTTTCTTTGTCTCTGCTGAAGATTTATGGTCTTAGTTCGCGGGAAAAGCTCCACGGCCTCCCGCACATGCGCAGAACGTGTTTCTGGTATTAGGCGGTGACGTCATCACAATGCTTCCGTGTGCAAAGCATCATGGGAAATGAAGTTTCTTGGCTCTGATGTGATTATTTGCTTTTCAGAGCAATTTAAGCACAGTCATTTTGGAGAAAATCACTGCATAGTAATTTCCTCATGAGGTCAGACCCTCAACACTAACCACATGAAACTTCACTCTCAAATGTCATATTTTTCCAAGTCTGCAAACAGCAATAAGAAATAAAGCACCAAGTGTGGAAGGGGATACACAGGAGTTGCATCAGACTAATCGATGTTTCTCAAATCAAAATATAGCTTAATGAATTCAAAATGAAGGCAAAGACATCAACTATGGCCTCACTATGCATGAGTATCTGCAAATCCAAACATAGATGGCCTGATGGTGTCTCTTCAGGGTTCCCAACCTCCTGACACAGAAGTGACAACACAAATCATGTCCTGGTGAAAACTGAAAGGGATGCACCTCCTGCTCGCTTTCTCCTCTTCCAGCTTTACATCTGCATGACTGGCATCAGCGTGGCCCGAAACATGTAATCTGTGTGACCCAGTTTCCATGGCGATGCACGCTGGCTGTCACTGCAGCGGCATGCAGGCAGAAGGAGGTTACACCATCCAGAACCACAGCCTGCTGTGTGTGTGTGTGTGTGTGTGTGTGTGTGTGTGTGTGTGCGTGTGATGGGGGGGGGGGGGGGGGTTCAACAGCGGCAGGGGACTCGGCTCAGTAAATCCTGAGGCCCTGCATCTGAAATCATCCCCGGCCCACACACTCCACTGTTCATAAGAAGAGACGAGAGGAGAGCGCAGTGGAGCGATTGCTGATTGCTGCTCCACGATGTTAGTGAGGAATTATAAATGACTAGTCATACTGTAGGGTTGTTAATCTCAAATCCTGCAGGGAGCATAGGCATCGATAGCTGACTCATTTTTATTCCATTAAAGGTACAAATACTCCTCTGTTTTTCCGGGTAACACAGATGACCCACGCATCACCTTCTGACCCAAAACAGATGAGTTTAATGGAATGATCACATGAATAAAAGCCAAGTGTCCTGCATCAGCATCAGACTTTTGTTTTGTTCATGTTTATGTTTATTCATTTAGCAGACACTTTTATCCAAAGCGACTTACAATTTATAACCTATAGGGCATGTTGTGTTTTATATCTGAAGTCTGTGCTGAAGCTTTGCAAATCAGGGGAAAAAAGATGTAGACTCTGCTTGAAAGATGCTAAGGCAGGTGAGCACGGACACAAGTAATAAATCACTTTATAATCACAAAATCTGAGGATTAAATTGTGCTGTATAGAATTTACAGCAGACAAATATCCATAATGAATCCCAAATCACCTTCATTTTCCATTTAGATTATTTTTTAAATTTATAATTACATAGAGGGAGTAATCTTGTTAATTCCACTTATTTCTGCTCTTCTTATGCATACAGGTAGAACTTTACACACTGCTACAGCATCTGAGGTGAACAGGTGAATAAAAGGGTCCATATTTACTTTACACACAAGTGTTTATTCAGGTCCTTCTCAAAAAAATTAGCATATTGTGATTAAGTTCATTATTGTCTGTAATGTACTGATAAACATTAGACTTTCATATATATTAGATTCATTACACACAGCTGAAGTAGTTCAAGCCTTTTATTGTTTCTAATACTGATGATTTGGCGTACAGCTCATGAAAACCCAAAATTCCTATCTCAAAAAATTAGCATATTTCCTCCGACCAATAAAAGTGTTTTTAATACAAAAAAAAGTCAAACTTCAAATAATTATGTTCAGCTTCAACTTCAACTTTATTTATAAATCGCGCCTTACAGGCAAAAGCATGCCACCAAGGCGCTACACAGACCAAATAAAAACATCAAACATTAGGTCCAGAAAATAAAAACATTGGATACAGATTAAAAACACGGTGAATACACGGATCAATTTAAGTAAAACAATAAAAACTAGTTAGAAAGATTAAAAGACAAATCATAAAAGTAGGTTTTTAGCCTTGCCTTAAAAACCGCCACAGAGGTGGAGGCCCTTATGCTGAGAGGAAGCTCGTTGCAAAGCTTAGGACCTGCCACAGCAAAGGCCCTATCACCACGCATCTTTAGGTGCGATGTTGGGACCGAGAGGAGCGTGAGGTTCTCCGAGCGGAGTGACTGTGCAGGGGTGCGCGGTTGAAGCAATGACACCAAGTAATGAAGGGCAAAACCACTTAACGTTTTAAAAACCAGCAAAAGTATCTTAAAACAAATCCTTACATCAATGGGCAGCCAATGAAGCGCAGCCAGGACAGGAGTAATGTGGTCATACTTGCGCCTGCCCTCTAGAAATCTGGCAGCAGCATCCGGCACCATTTGCAACCTGGCTATTGCGCCCTTGCTCACACCAAATAAAACAGAGTTTTGAGTGCATAACAGAGATGTTCAGTTATGCACTCAATACTTGGTCGGGAATCCTTTTGCAGAAATGACTGCGTCAGTGCGGCGTGGCATGGAGGCAATCAGTCTGTGGCACTGCTGAGGTGTTATGGAGGCCCAGGATGCTGCGATAGCGGCCTTAAGCTCATCCAGAGTGTTGGGTCTTGCGTCTAATTTTTTGAGATACACCTTATCCGGGTCCGGGTCGCGGGGGGCAGCATTCCAACTAAGTCAAAGTCATTTTATTGTCATTTCTACCACATGTGCAAGACATACAGAGAAACAAAATTGAGTTTCAGTACACACAATCCAAAATGACTTCCTATCTCTGGCTCCTTCAAAGGCAGTTCGAAATCTGGGTGTTGTGATTGATGAACACCTGACCTTTAAAGATCATGTTGCCTCTGTTGCCCGTTCATGCCGCTTTGCGCTGTATAACATACGAAAGATCAGACCATACCTAACACAACATGCCGCCCAGCTCCTGGTGCAACCTACTGTCATCTCCCGCCTCGATTACTGCAATGCCTTTCTAACTGGTCTTCCGGCCTGGACTGTGAGACCTCTTCAAATGGTCCAGAACGCAGCGGCGCGTCTGGTCTTCAATCAGCCAAAAAGAGCACACGTCACCCCGCTGTTCATTGAGCTCCACTGGCTACCGCTAGCAGCACACATCAAATTCAAATTGCTAACACTAGCATACAAAGTCCGAGACGGTACGGCTCCCATCTACCTGAATCCTCTTGCAAAGGCTTACGTCTCGGCCCGGCCGCTCCGGTCATCACAGGATGGTCGGCTAACAGTGCCTACTCCACGCTCAGGACAATCCAGACTCTTCTCATGCATCGTTCCACAAATGTGGAATGACCTTCCAAGCACTACCAGAACTGCAGCTTCCTTTTCAATTTTCAAGAAACTCCTGAAGACCCTGCTCTTCAGAGAGCATCTTCTAAACTAGCACCCTCCCTGCACCCGTCCCCCCTCTCTACCGTCCTCTCCTTGTTCCCTCCTCTCCATGACTGATGTCAAGTTGTTGTTGTTGTTGTTAGCCTCAAGGGCAACATGCCGATTATCACGTGTAAGTCGCTTTGGACAAAAGCGTCTGGTAAACACATAAACATAATCAGTTAGTGATAAGTCTAAACCTACCCGAGGTCTTTTCCAGACGACACGTCCGATCCTGTTGCCCTGGTGAAAGAGCGCGTCGTCGGTGGTGGGGAAACGAGGGTCCTCAAAGAGGAGGCCACTCTGCAAGCACTGCCTCTTTAGGGTGGAGTACTGCTGCCCCTCAAAGGCCTTCACGGAGGTGAACATCCTGCAGCCCTGAAGAGCACAAACCCAGGTCAGACTCCAGTTGTAAAAAATGCCTCCCTGGCATCTTGGCTTCACATCATCCCACAGACGCATCAAAGAAGTTGAATTACATATGTTAGGAACATTATGACATCACATTCCCACACATCCTACTGGCCGACAGAAGAAAGACCTGAGCAGCAAAAGCTCGGAGTTGAAACAGAAAGTCGATGTGCATTTCTGCCCCGAGTGCCGCCTGGATTCACTGGGTTAAAATGATTATTCTGTCAATTCACCGATACCCTCCGGGGCCTTGTTATTGCCGCTACACACTGAGGGAGACACACACACACACACATGTTCATGCAGAGAGACCTGTGGGTTAGGATGGAGTGATGGAGGGAATGGTCAATACGGAACCGCTGGATAAATGACTGATCTTAAAACTGACCACGGCGACCATGGCTCCCAGCAGTCCAGTGTGTAGGGTGGAGTGAAATCTGTTTTCCTTATTTACCTGAACATAAAGGAAATGTCAAAGTATCACACATCCATAACATACACATCAATAAAAAGCCAACTTACAGTAACTCAAGGTTAACAAGACTTCCTGCTATTTTTTGATTAATCTCCTCCAAAAAACCGTCAGTTTGAACGACATCTCAAACAAAAACAGATTCTCCAGTTTTAAACAGAAATGATCAGACAAATTAGACTGGAATAAGATTTTTATGCAGCAAACGTAGTTTTAGCATCACACACAAGTTCACATACATCCAAGGCAGCCGACTTAGTAACCAGAGGCTAGATTTCATATCTTGTCTGCTACCAAACATCAATGCTCATATTTTTCATGCATGAACACAATCTTTGTGTTTGACGGGGCTTTTAATGAGCACTTTGCTCCTGCAGCGAGGCAGGGGCGACCAAGGAAGGTCCCGCCTTTCTCGCCTCTGATTGGCTAGTTGGGCTCTACTACGATTGGCTGAAAATTTGCGGGGGCGGCAGACAACAGCGGCCTTCGCTTGGCTGAAAGCTAAGCGAGCAAAGCAACTGATGTGGATACCTGAGCAGAGGTAAATATGTCTTTGTGAGAAAGCTAACATTAGCTTGTCAAAATCCACGTTAAAAATAATGGGCATGCCCTCAAATGTTCATCTAATCTGTTGTTTGCTGATGACATAGCTGCCAGTTCAATATACTTAGTCACACACACACACACACACACACACACACACACGAAAGTGAGGACACATCTTTCATGTGTTTAAATCTGTATATTTAATTGAAATTAATTCAAAGCTGATTATGATTTAGACCTATTTTTCAGCAGTTATCATTAAGAGAAGCAGACCTGCTGCACACAGCTGGGTACAATAGGGCAGTTTTATTATATTTAATACCCACGTTTATCCTATGTACTCTGCTGTAATAAGATCACCTCAATGCTTTAGAGCCATGGACATAAAGTAAGTCCCACAGTGTGAAAAATGCAACAAGATTTATAAGTTCACTTCTTACATTTTTCAATCAATGAAACAAAAAAAATTTTGCTAAACAGAACAGAATGGCGCCAAGTTCTTATTTTCTAAAAAATAAAAATAAAATAAAAAACCAAAACAGCTGTTCTGTTGGTGGCAAGAGGACAGTCTGCACTTAGCAAGGGAAGACGGTTTGCTGCTAAATGAAATAGCCAATCGTAGTAGAGCCCATCTAGCCAGTCAGAGGCGAGAAAGGCGGGACCTTCCTTGGTCACCCTACAATTCCAAAAGACGTGGCAGGGGCAGACCTGAGGTCTTTTCCAGACGCGTTCGCTCTCATCATCTGAGAGCGACATTCGTAGGACTTATTTGCTGTAGAAAGCTGCCTGAACGGCCTAATTACTAGTGTGACCAAAGTGTGTTGCTTTGACTGTGGAAAGACCTAGTGTTGACATCCTACAGACGTGGTCTGGACCGACGGACTCGATATAGACATGGGAACTATCATCTCAAAATTGAAAGCAGCTCATGCAAACATAGTTTGGGGTCCTAGATTTAGGCCCTGTCCACACGTAGACGGGGATCTGCCAAAACGTAGGTATTTTTCTACGTTTTGGCCTGTCATCCACACGAAAACGGAGTTTTTCAACCGAAAATTGATCTTTTTAAAAACTCCGGCCAAAGTGAAGATCTGCGTTTTCTCCGTTTTGGGTGTCCGCGTGTGGACAGAAAAAACCGGAGTTTTAAGGTCCGCGACGTCACTTTCCGCGACAAAAAATGCTGACATCACGTGTGCGACCTGCGTTTACACTAGCCGACAGCATGGATGCCCTCAGAGCTGCGCTCTGTCACTACCCGATCCATCAATTGTCCAAGCGCTTTCTGCTTGTTTGTTTTTGCAAGCAGAATTACTGCTCCTTCCGGAAGACCACAGACGAAGGACGAGGTTAAGAACGGGGGAAGTACTGCCGCCTACAGGTCTGGCATGTCCTTAACAACGTATTTATCCAGGTACGTGTGGACAGAGTTTTTTTTTTTTAAACGCGGTGGTGTGGATGCAAGTTTTTGGAGGGGCGGATATTCATTTAAAAAAAAAAACTGCTACGTGTGGACTAGGCCTTAGTTCATAGATTTCAAAACCACATTGACCTTGTTTTTGTTGAACTAAGGCAGCGTGGCGAGTCCAATGTACCAAAATGTCCACGTCAGCAGTATATAAATGTTGGTTGTGGTAATGCTAACCAAAGAATGATGCTAGCCCATGCTGCAATGGAGAAGAATGCTGAAGCACCACTCACGTTCCAGGATATACTGGGAATACAGCTATATCCATGGCTTGCCTACTGGGTTATCTGGACTCTGTACACAACTGATTTCCTTCATGATTACATCTACTAATCGTTTAAAACCTTTATCAGCAACACTTCAGGAAGGTTGAAAGCTCATTCTGAGTGCAAAAAGATGCTCAAAAGTGAACTCATATCACAATAAGGCAAAGGAGCAAAACCACATCCTGTTCAAGCAGCACTGTGAAATAAAGTCTTCTTTGATTAAGTTGGACCCGTTAACCTTGCTGTAGAGCTACAGAATATTTAACATCCAAGGGGGGATTTATGAGAGAATGGAGCTATACGACATCAAAAAGACATCAAGAGTAACATGTAATCTGACTACAGCACTTTTCAAAAATCATTGAGCTGAAAGCTTTCAGAAAACCCGACTCTTCCAGCAGGCTTGTGATGTGTTGAATCCAAACAAGGAGAGAAACCTTCCAAGTACTCAGAGTTCAAACGCGTGTAACAGAGAAACTAATGATTGCAGACATCACTCACATGCTGCAGCCAAAACGGTCCTTCACTCTCAGAACAGAGATCAGTCACAACAGGTTTTGTGTCTAAATCCATCACATCTATGACTGATTTAAGTTTGACCACAAATTCATCACAAAATGATAAATAAGGCTCTTCTAATTCAACTAAACGTAATTTTTTTCTATTGAAAGAATTAAATTATCCTGTCGAAGAACAAGAAGTTCATTCACATTAACCGTAACCCACTCTGTTCTTGGTTGTATTCAAAGAAAATTTCCAGTAAGTCCACTTTCAAGGGAATTAATAAGCTAGCTAACTCTTGTGAGTGATCAAGCACATTTCTGTGAAAAAAGCAAGGCCGCAGTTGGAGGCTAAGTCTAACAGATGGCCATGCTGTTCTGGCTCATGAGTGCAATGGGGAAAACCACGCTGTCATCTGGGCTCTAGGCAGAGCCAACAGCCTTACCTGCAGAGAACAAATCCTGAGAATGTACAACATTTTATGGCTTCAGTAAAAGAACAAGTTGAAAGTTTATGACCATCAAAGTTGCAGTTAATTCAAAAGTTAGCACGTGGAGAAAGTAGCTTCAGACGAAGGGATTAGGAGATACTGAGTTTGGGATTTTCAATAGTTTTCAGTTATAAACATCAAAATTAAAGAAACATTTGAAATTAATCAGTCTGTGTATAGCGAATGAATCTAATGTACAAGTTTCACTTTTTGAATGGAATAACTGAAATAAATCAACTTTTGTCATGATATTTAAATTTTCTGACCAGCACATGAATCTGATATTTAGTGTGTTACGTAAAAACAATAACAGTAATAAACAGTGCTCTGCCGGTTTGGAGGGCCAATCACAGCACTTTATCGGTTTGGTGGGCGGGATGTTACTGTGACAGAGCGAAACAAAAATGGTGGTGACTCATCTGAAATGGCTTTGGCATCAACTTTGGACTATTTAGACTTGAGTTTTTCTTTGGGTCAAGAACAGATGGAGGTACTTGAGTATATTTAGCAAAAGTATCAAGTCTTCACCAGCGTATGGCTGTGGCAGTAAAACCTCCTTGTTGACTGACATCCGTAGCTGTGAGTACGTCATGTTGTTTATTGTCCAATAGAATGTGGAGACAGTTTGAACGACAACCTTTGATCCCGCTCTACCACTGAGATCCATCTATGCGTCATGGCCAGACTATATATTCACATATATAGAATGGCCTGCGATGGACTGGCTCTCTGTCCAGGGTGTACCCCGCCTGATTGCCCATTGGCTGCTGGAGATCGGCACCAGCCCCCCCACGACCCTACGTGAACAAGTTGGTTCAGAGGGAGGGGGGGAGGGAGACAAGCGGGTTCAGAGGGAGGGAGGGAGGGAGGCTGGATGGATGGATGGATGGATGGATGGATAGGGATGGATGGATGGATGGATGGATGGATGGATGGATAGGGATGGACGGATGGATGGATGGATGGATGGATGGATGGATGGATGGATGGATAGGGATGGATGGATGGATGGATGGATGGATGGATGGAAGGATGGATGGATGGATGGATGGATGGATGGATAGGGATGGACGGATGGATGGATGGATGGATGGATGGATGGATAGGGATGGACGGATGGATGGATGGATGGATGGATGGATGGATAGGGATGGACGGATGGATGGATGGATGGAAGGATGGATGGATGGATAGGGATGGACAGATGGTTGGATGGATGGATGGATG